AACAACAGTGATTGACAAATTTAATTGTTGTTGAAATACATTTTAAAATACAACTAAAAGATAATCAAATCATCAATAATACATTCACGTTACTTGGAGTGATAATTTACATTTTATAACACAACTTGAATGTTTAATTGACAAATTTACATATTTATATTGAAATTTAATACCTGATATACTCCTGATCAAGCTTTTTGTTTTATTTATGAATATTTGATATATGATAACAATGACGACTAACTTCAATAGAATATAATATATCAACTAATGAACATATTTTTATTTTCATACTTTGTCAAATGAAACAGCCAAAATTCAATTTCCATTTTAAAAATCAAACACTTTATGAATTATTGTTACTTTACTATTAACTTCCAATGGATTTTAAAAATGAATTAAAATTGATTGAAAATTACTTGGCATTTTCTTGTAGATTAGTTGTTTTCTTGGTATTAACAAAATTTTGCTCATCCTCATACAAAACTCTGTTTCTTTCTGCTATTTTGTTATTCTCCGAATCGAAAAATTGAATTGATGAATTCAAGTCCTTTTCTTTCTCTTCAAGAATGCTTTTCAACTTAACCAACTCGAATTGGAGTGAAGTATTTGTTTGGAACAATTTATCATTTTCATCATTCTGTTTTCTGAGCTTTGCGTTTCGTTCTTCAAATATAACTTTTTGTTCATTAAGCAACTTTTCTTTATTCTCAACATTCTTTAGACTCTCACGATAAAATTCGTCCATGGTTTTAATACTTTTTTGCCTTTTCTCGAGTTCTTTATTCTTTTCGACCAATTGTTGTTCTAACTCTTTAGTTTTAATACTTTCGTTTAAAAACGTGGCTTTTAAATCTGTTAATTCTGATGTATTCTTTTCAATCTCTGTTATCTTTTCTCGTTCAGATTGTTGTAATTCTTTCAAAACATTACTTTGTCTGATATTTTCTTCTTTTTGTTTCTTATTAAGCTCCTCTTCTTTTTGTACAAGGTCTTCTCTTGATTTGATTTTTTCATTCATAAGTTGGAGTTGATTCTTTAGTCTTTCATTCTCTTCTTTTAATTTCAAATTCTCTTCTTTGAGTGTTTCAAATGAATCAACTTGTTGTGTTTCTTCCTCTGACATTTTTTATATTATAAATGATCTCCAAGACTCTTTAAATTGAAACATTTAAATTAATAATCATATGGCTTCTAATGATCTTTACTATAAATAACTTCTTTTTACTGATTTATTGTTTAAAACTACTAAAAAAACTAATGAAAATTATTTTATATTCTATTCAAAAAAAGCATTATAATACTATTTTTTATTAACAAAAAATACCATAAAACTAATTCCAATGACTTCTATATTTATATACCTCATTATTTTCATTTATTTTAATTTAATATTTATTTTTAAATTTTAATAATTAAATAATTTAACTTATTTAACTTATTAGTATCACAACTTAAACTGGTTGATTCCCATTTTTATTGTTTTTATTAATATTTACTATACATATCCCCATTCTCAACTAAAACTTATCAACTAATAGTTTATAGTTTATATATTATTAGTAATTATAATAATATTATCATTAATTAATCATAATAATATAATTAAAATAATATAAAAATATTCATTTAAAAATTATAATATAAAAAACCAAATTTATTAAAATCAATTTGTTAAAATTTCAATTTTAATTATTATTCGACGCAATTACACGATTTCTAAGACTAAAATCAGGTTTCCCCTCTTCTGTGTTTCTTTATTGAAGAATCCCAACTCTCCCAAATTGAATGAAGTCTGTGTACCAGGCACAACAATGGGGACATTGTAATTCTCGCTTAAAATATCGATGTTAATTGGTATTATTACTGACTGTCCGACATACTGTTTTTTTACCCACACGGTTTTTATCAAGTCGAATCCACGTTTCTCTGTGCCTTCGACCTTTTGCGAACTTATTTGGAGTGTATGTTGAACTCCGTCTTTCTCAAAGGTAATTGTATGCGGCTCAGAAGTGCCAGCTTCTATTGTCATTTCTACGGGTTTTTCGCCTATTATATGTGTAAACGTTCCGCCAAAGTGGAACATAGCCATTGGTATCTCAAGTCGGGTGATTTCTTCTTTCTCTTTTTCAATCACATTTTCTTTAGTGTGTGATTGTTGTGATGTTTCTTTAACAGTTTCCAACTCTTCTTGACTTTCTTTGACTTTCTGTTTATATACTTCGACCTCTCTTTCTAATGTCTCAACTTTTATAAGACACTCCTTGTTCTCTTTCTCAAGTTTGGTGATTGTGGACTTATCACAATCTCTCTCAGATTTCATCTCTTTTATTTTATTTTCGTTTTTGTTGAGCCTTTCTTCGATATCTGTGTTAGCATTAATGTAGTTATCTTTAATTATTTCTAATTCTTCGACTCGTTTTAATACCCCTTCATGTTTCTTTTCCAACTCGTTGTTATCATTTTCAAGTGATGCTATTGTTTCTTCTTTATTCCTTGAATCTTCGAGTTGTTGATTGTTTAGAACAATAAAATTCTTTTTCCACTCATTTTCTTTATTTTGTTGTTGTTCGAGTTTAGAAATCGAGTCATTAAAGTCTCTTCGTAAATTTCCATTTTCCAACGCCAATTTCGAGTTTTTGTTCTCCAATTCATTTTTTTCGTTTGTGATTTGAGTGATTTTGTCTTTCATTTTTTGAACGATTACATTTGAACTTTCCACAAAACTTTTACAACTATTTTGATGTTGTTTAAATTTTTCTTCAAGATCTTCGTTTCTCATTACAAGTGTTTTGTCTTTTTCTTCCAATTGCATTTTTTCATTTTTCAACTTGTTTATTTTACATGTTAAAACTTTATCAAGATCATCAGCTCGGTCTTTTTCGGATTGAAGTTGAGACTTGAGATTTTCGATCTCTTCTTTCTGTTTTTCAATCACTTTTTTATTTTCATTTAAAAAAATAGACCAAGAATGGTTTTCTTTTTTTATTTTTTCAATTTCTTCTTTAAGTTTTTTGATTTCTTTTTTCAACTGCTCAACTAAATTATTACTCTCCTTTAAATCTTCTTTCGTTTTAATCAAATCATTTTGAATTTGTTGAATTTCTTTGGATTTTTCGCAAATTGTTTTTCCATACGATACTTGGGTTTTTTGTAATTGTTTAATTTCATATATAAAATTTTGTTTATCTTTGTTAAGTGTGTCAATTTCGTTTTGTTTACTCTTCAATTCCGTCTTTAATCTTCCGATTTCACTATTTTCATCGCGATAAAATAAACCCCAAAAACTCATTTTATACAACACAATTTCAGTTTCTTGTTCGTTTTTATAAATAAATAAATAAACTTCATTATTAAAAATCATTTCTTTGTAAAACTTAAATAAACTCAATTTTGCCATATAAATTGTTATATATAACATTTTAACACACAAAATAAAAATGTTAATTAATTAAACTGAATTAGTTCTTTCCAAACGTGTTGAAATGCAATCTGAGGTTGTCAAATCTCTCAGGTCTCTTTTGCTCATGTGCCGGAACGCCGAGTGATATAACGTTGAGGATTTTGTGGGTTTGAGGGAGTTTAAGGATTTTTGCGATGTTCATCATTCTGTCTTCCTCTGGGTACACTCCAAGCCAAACTCCACCATATCCAAGTTGATGTGCTGCGAGTAAGATATTCTCTGCTGCAGCGGAAGCGTCCATCACCCAATACCCTGGTGTATACGCCTTTGAGACGTTTGCAATCACAGCGATTGCATGGCTGCAGTTTTTAAGCATCGCAGAGTATGGATGGACGGCTATAATGTCTTCAAGAATCTTCTTGTCGTCGATAATTATAAATTCAGTCTCTTGTTTGTTCACAGCAGTTGGAGCATAGAAGCCCGCAGTTACTATCTTCTTGACGTCCTCGTCGGGGATCTTTTCTGCGGTGTATTGGCGGACACTTCTTCGGTCATAAAACAAATCCATGCTCATTTTCTTTGTTTTTTAAAGTTTAATTTTGTACTTATATCTTATCTGTTATGGCAAGTCAATCTCACTTTTCATTTATCGAAATATTTTTGTTATCAAGTACATTTTCTTAAAAACAACTTTTGTCAAGTTGTATATAATATTATTTATAAATATTATCATAACTTATAAATATCCTTTTTTTATTGTTAAAAATAATTAACTTTATTTCCAAACAAAAAAAAGTTCAAACACTTTTTTACTTTTATTAATGTTTTATTAGAAATAACTATTAAACCAATCTTTTTTTATCACCAGAAATATTTCAAAAGTCGACGAAATGGTAAAATTATCAATATTTCGAAAAATATGAAAAAGATTTTGTGTTTACTTTTTTTCACGTGTTTTTTGATGTTTTCAAAATTTTAAAAAAAAGTTTTTAAAATTTTCAAAAATAGTCAAGTATTTTTCATTTGAACTAATTGAACTCAAAATTAAATTATATTACACAACAACCACTTTATTTCTTCTCTTTCTCCATTGCCTCTTCCGTTTTCTCGTCGTCCATTTCTTCGCTTTTACTCTTAACTACCTTTTCATCTTTCTCATTAACAATTTCCTGAATGAGTTTCCTCTCCGCGTCATCGATTTTCTCTTCGAGACTTTTCTCGACAACAGCCTTCTCTTCTTTCTGTTCTTTACTTTCTACCTTCTCTTTTTTCTCTTTTGTTTTTCGAGCATTTCGGCGTCGCAAATTGTCTTTGTCTCTTCTGAGTTTCTTTTGTTCTTCGGTTTCATTTTCTCGTTTCTCTTTGACGTGAAGGCGTTGTGCTTCGCGTCGTTTGATTTTTTCTTCGATGGTCTCGTTTCTTCGTTTTTCTCTTAAATGGTCACGTTGGCTTTTCCTCCGTTTTTCCTTCACTTCTTCGGTCTCGTTCTGCCGCCGCAATCTCATCCTCTCTTTCATTTGTTCCCTCCGCTTCTTTTTTTCATCTTCTGGAAGGTTTCGACGTTTTTCACGCATTCGTTGGCGCTCGTTTTCTCGTCTTTTTAAACGTTCCTCCTCTGTCTCGTTCTGCCTTTTTGTTCGGGAACGTTCTCTCTCACTTTTTCGTCGCGCTTCGATTTGGCTTTCACTTTCGTTTTTGCGACGATCACCTTTCTCAGATGTCTCTTTTGAGATTTTTTCGAATCTCAGAAATCTGACTGGCATTTTTTGTGTCTTTGGGTTTATGTGTTCTGCTGAATCAGAAGGTGGGGGATGGATACTCTTTTCAGTGATTTTGTTTTCAATTAGTTTAGTTATAATAAAATCTAGTTTGTCATCAACACTTGCAATTTTTTGAATAAAATTTTCGTTTTTGCCGCACTTTTCTTTTTTTTCAAATTTTTGTGGTAATCTGAGTTTTGTTTTTTTGACGGAAGGAATAATGTCTGGCAATTTATCGTCGTCAGTTGAAAAAATTTGCATCTCTTTTAATTTTTGACTTTTTTGTGTCTCTTTTTTTACCATTTTTTTTTGATCTTCTTTTTTTTCTTTTTCTGTCTTGTTTTCTTCAACCCTTTTACTGGCTTTTGTTTTGTTCAGATTAATATAACCGTC